AAATAAATAAATTATAGCATGATCTTTCAAAAACTGTACTCCAATTAAATTATAGTAAAATTTGTTCGTACCGTATATCAAAGTACATACTAAATAGTAAATTATAACATTGTTAAAATCCGACGAGTCCTTTTGTTCATTTGTCTTTTATATTGAACCTACCAGTGACATGTCTATTTTGCATTGTATGATAAAAATAAAAGAAATGACATTTTGACTATTGGGGTAAGATTGTAAAATTATGGCATTTTGGATATTGTAACATACCAAAATATGAGTTTGGTACTATCAAATTGACAAAATCACTAGAGATGCCTAAGGTTAAATATAACAGCTTCGCTACGTAGCTCGAATTCTCATTGGCTCGAGTGGCCCGAATTTCTTTTTTCACTCAACTTTCTCCTGCTGTGCTCCGTACACCTACACATTTCATGTTCTCTCTCTCTCTCTCATCACTGTCTTTAATCTTCTTCATCTTCTCTCCTTCTCATCACATTAACAGTTGCAGAGAGACAAAAAGAACCGTCTTTGTGTGTCGTCGCTGTTGCTGTCTGATTGGAGTTAAAGAGGAGGAGCTTTGTGTGCCGCTGCTTGATTGGAGTCTTAACAAAGAACACCCACATTCATTAGTAGACTCAAATCAAATATATAAACACATATACATACATGTATATAGACTCAAATAAAATCAAATATATGTAAAATAAGTTGAAAATTCTCCAAAATTAAGCATCAAGAATCCCAAACCAAACCCTACCCACAAATCCCATTTCCTATTTCATTCTAGAAATCTCATCTTTGTACAAAATCAGCAAACACACACACACAGAGAGAGAGAGAGAGAGAGAGAGAGAGAGAGAGTAACAATCCATTGAAGGCCATATCCGAAAAGACCCATTGAAGTCCAAATCTGTGGGTATACACAGATCTGTCATAAATCTGTTCCCCCCTCTTATTCTTTTCTCCTTTTTCTCATTCTCTTATTCTTTTCTCCTTTTCTCCTTTTCTTTTTCTTCTTCTTCTTCTTCTTCTGTCTGTTTCAGAGAGAAAACAAATGGGGAAGAGAAAAAAAATGGGGGAAAAAAAAGATTGCCCAAAACGACTTCGTTTTGGACAGTCGAGCCATTTGGGCCAAAGGCATTTCGAGTTACGAAACATTTCTCTAAATATAAATGGTTAAGGTGGCTGTTGTAATTTTGATTGTAGATGAAGTTGTTCTAGTAGCAGAGAAGATGGGTCAGGATAGCAGTAAGGCCATGTTTATTTGACAAATTAGATTGAAGGGGATTGTTAGTGAGGGAACGATTAGTGAAGAGATTATTAATGTGAGGATTATTAGTGAGAAAATTAAGTAAAAGTGTGTTTATTTTGATAATAGTGTGGGAGATGGTTAATAATGAGATTGTTAAATTATTTTTAAATAAAATAAATTAAAAAATTATTTTTATATTAAAAAAATTAAAATTAATATTAAAACAGAAGGTGCAATTGGGATTGTTAAAAAAAAAAATTGGCCAGCCAACTATTTTTTTGGCCATCCGACTATGTTTGTAAAAATAAAATAAAATAAAATAAAAATTGCACTGTACCAAATGTTTGAGTGGACGACCGAACAAATTGAAACCACTCACTATTTTTTTAATCTCACTCGCTTCTCAATCAAGCTAATCCCTCTACTGAGGAGATTACTAAGCCGTTCAGATTATGAAGTTGACCCTCTCAATCAACACTAAACATGTTGTGGGTGGGACCTATAACAATCCTACTCCAATTCGACTGTTGAAACGGCCAAACAAACATGGCCTAAAAGGTGAGAAAGGACCTAGGAACGAAGTTGCACCAGTGGTTGGTTGAGGTTGGTCAACGATGGAAAGAGTTGCATCAAGAAAAGAGAGGGAAAAAAAGGGAGAGAAGAAAGACCAAGTCACATTTCGTCAAAACCAAGCTAGATTTCAAGACTTGATTTATTTTTTTCCATTCAATATATATATTGAAAATTTTCCTATTTAATTGATATTTTACTTGTTTTATTTTTTTATTTTATTGATATTTAAAAAAAAAGGAAATTAATAAATAAAATACTTTAATGGGCTGATGAATCTCTGGTCAAGCTGTGAAATCAAAGCCACATGATCATGGTTAGGTCATTTGGATCAGACTTGTTATTGTGAGCTTTTTTTGCTTTGATATGATGGTTTGTTGACCTAGTTGTGATACATAAGAATATAACCCACCTAAAAATATAATACATATTTAGTAATGCTTTATCATACATCACATATCATATTATTATCATATTAAAATTGTTCTACGTCAATGTCAGTGTATTTTCTATTATATAATATATATATATTTTATCATAAATGTACACACGTGTATTGGTTTACATATACATCACATATCATACCAGAATACCATGGACATGGTAGAATAGCTATATAACTAATTAGAACTTGGAATATGTTGTATTATATGCTTGTATATACACCAACATTTGTTGTAGTCTCACATGCATTTGTTTGTATTTTCACAATTGTTAAGTGGTTATAATTGTATCCACAAAACTCCTTTGAATCCCTACTGAGAGGGAGATTTGTGTCGAACAGTTGGGTTGAGATAGAGGCAACACGAATTATGGTGTTGGCCCGCGTGGGGACCAGACGTTGTACATGGCCGAGCTGCACCAACACAGTATTTCGACCTACTACATTGACTAGGCTATATGTAGCCCGGGAGTACGGTGGCTTGCGGATGTTTAGCCAAGTTAGGACCACGCGGAACCGGATGGTTGCTGAGCTATGGATAGTTTAGATTGATGTAGGAGAAGATGGCTCTTGAGATCAGCGCGCCTGTGTCTAGGCGGTCCTCATGGACCGATTCGGTTTTGCTCGGCTATGTCTATCCATCGTGATGTTTGTGTTTCACCAAGTAATGGCTCGACCCAGCACTCCACGTGGATCAATGAAGAGAAATGGAGGAATCCAGTCCTGGTATGCTTCAATACCGTTTGGTAGTGCCACAAACACTGTTTGAAGGTTTTGATCTCTATACGTGTAAGAAGTGTAGAGGGGAGCACAGCCGCCTGTCCAGAGAAAGACAACAAAGGTAGTGCTCCCACAACCTCTGAGGCTGCATGGCTAGCCTTAAAAAAGAGCAGTTGGCAGCCGTTAGAGATAAGTAATCTGAAGGAATTCTGAATTCTCTCTCTATAGTGTTCTCTCTATTCTTCTTCTTTTCCAAGTGTGCTGACTTGATCGTCGGAGGGTTTATCCGACAGCACACCACTGGACAGCTCACCATCTTTCTGTTCTCAGGTTAAGCGACATTACGTGAAGCTTAGATTCAAGGAGTACGGAGAACTAAGAATATTTCACTCCCATACAATTGGCATCGTCTGTGGGAAATCTTTGACAGACAAACCTTGCTCTCTAAGCTTTTTTAACCGTTTCCATGGCTAACAATGAAGAAACACAGCTGTCCATTGTCGACGGTATCACACCAGAGTCTGTCCGACGGAGAAATGGCCCCTATTGCTATTCCGACTATGGCAGGCTTGGAGACCACTTCCAGAGGCGCGCGAGACAAACGTGGGAGTAGCCCTGAACATTCAAAGAGTCCCGAGGGTCGCCAACTGCGAGGAGAGTCGCATGCTCAGCGCCTAGAGCATAAACTCAGAGACTAGGATGCCCTCATTCGGAAGATGGCGGCTGAAATGGAGACGCTGAAGCGTCAAATCAAGGGAAATGGTGTTGCTGGAGTGGGCAACCAAAGTGAGCGCACCCCACCTCATCGCTCTGACAATTGTCGCCAATATGGGACACCTCCCTCTCTCTATCACCAAGAGCTACGGAGTTAGCGACTTCGATCCACCAATGAAGAGATCTTACACGCGCGACAACAGTTACCGTCTCTCGCGTCCTTCGACGACATCGAGATACTCTTACTCCGCTCATTCGAGGGACCTGAGGGATGTGCTGGAAGAGTGCGCCCGCCATAGGGAGGCCCAAAGATTGCCAGCGCTGCAAAGACTGAGTCCCTAAATCCATTGCAGTGAGGAAGTGGCCATGCCGACGCCAAGAATGATGGCTCCAGCACCGATGGACAGAGAGCTAGCAAGATTTACCGCTACACTACTGTCTCCAGAGATCGAGAGCACATCACTTCCTGCCGAATTCCACCAACCTAAGTTCACGATGTACGATGACAAGACGAATCCGTACATGCACATGAGTCATTACCGGCAAGTAATGGCTGGCCATCGGCGCAATGACACCTTGATGTGTCTCATATTTCCAGCGAGTTTGGGAGAACTGGGCCTGAAGTGGTTCGAAAGGCTCCCGGAGGAAAACATCGAGGGGGTGACAACAACTAACAGAGGCCTTTGTCACTAGGTTCAAGACTAATACTCGAACACCGAAAGAGGTCGACCACCTCCTGAGCGTCAAGATGGAGTCCAGAGGTTCTTTGAAGGCATACAATGCCAACTATTGGGAAACCTACAATAAGATCCTTGATTGTCCCACCAATTTGGCGATCGCCCAATACAAGCAGACTTTCCAGCCGGGCATAGGCTGCGAGACTCGCTCGTGATGCATCAGCCCACAACCATGGAGTCCTTAATACGGCGGATCAACGAACATATTCGAGTAAAGGATGATACTGCCACCGTCACCGCAACCGAGAAGGCAAATCCGATTACGACGGACAGAAGGGTGGCTGGAAAAGTTCACTCGGTGGGGCAGGAGGATAACCGCCTTAATAACCGAGCTAAAGACTAACATCGCAGTTCAATCCGCAATGATAGAAACAAAAGCTGCAGAAACGACCGAGATAACGTTGTTCGAAGCGAAGAGGAAGATGCCAAGAGGAAGTTAAAAGCACAAACCGACATCACCACTGTCTTTAAGATCCTAATTTATCACATCCTCAGTGAAATTCGAGGTAAGCCATACATGCGTTGGCCGGCAAAATTAGAAGACATGCAGAGGGGCTTTAACTCGATGTACCGCTGCACCTTCCATGAGGAAAAGGGGCACCGAACGAAGGACTACATGTCGCTCAAACAACATTTGGAGGAGCTGGTTGCAGCTAGGCATTTGGATCAGTACATTAACGGGGATATGAGGGTTGCTCCACAAGGACAAGCTAAGCCAAATGGCCTTGCCGTCTTGGATGCGGCCCCTCAAGGATTGATTAATGTTATTCACGGCATTATCGAGCCAGCATGGGTTTGTGAGCTGAAGGGGATGATCAAGAAGGCCGAGCACATAAGGGAAGTCCTCTCTGGTCAGCCCACCGTGAAGAAAGGGAAGACTAAGATAAAGGACGTCTTAACTTTTTCAAGCAAAGACTTAGAAAGAATACAAACGCCTCATAATGACGCCCTAGTTGTGACTCTTCGTGTCAAAGACCTCGACATCAAAAGAATTCTAATCGACCAGGGGAGTTCGGTCGAGATCATGTACTACGACATGTTCAAGCAGATGAAATTGGAGGACGAAGACTTGGCTCCAGCAATGTCTCATTTAGTCAGCTTCAACTCTCAACCAGAATGGCCGATCGAAAAAATCATATTGCCGGTCAAGGCTGGGTCAGTCACGAAGCAGGTGGAATTTTGGGTGCTGAAGGTGCCATCGACCTACAACTTGATCTTGGGAAGAGATTGGTTGCACGCCATGCAAGCAATAGCGTCGACTTATCACTAGGTCATGCGCTTTCCCACACTGGCTGGACAAGTCGAAGAGGTTTGGGGAGACCAAGTAATGGCAAAACAATGCTTTGTCGTAGTGAATTGCAATTGGGCTGCCAAAGGCTTTGTCCGAATGATAGAAGGGCCAGAAGGAAATGAAGTCCTAGAAGATAAGGGAAGAAAACTCGAAGAGAAATCGGTTAAAGATTTGGTGGAAGTGCGCGTTGATGAGAATAATTCAAATAAGTTCTTTCTTTTGAGATCATCTTTGTCTAGCACCAAGCGGCTCGATTATGTCAACTTTTTGGTTTCCAAAATTGAGGCCTTTGCGTGGACGCCTTACAATATGCCTAGCATCGACCATAGCTTCATTTGCCACCAGTTGAATGTCTTTCTGAATGCACGACCCGTCATTCAAAGAACGTAACGCTCGGCCTTGCATCATGCCGAGGTAGTGGCAAAGGAGGTCAAAAACTTGTTGGAAGCTGGGGCGATAGAAGAAGTGCAATACCCTATATAGATCTCTAACACGGTGGTAGTGCCGAAGAAGAATCGTAAATGGCGGGTGTGCGTCGATTATAAGACAGTCAACTGTGCATGCCCAAAGGACAACTTCCCCCTCCCAAGAATTGACCAGTTAGTGGATTTAACTGTTGGCCATCAAAGGTTTAGCTTCCTGGACGCATATCGTGGCTACCACCAGATCGCTATGTACAAACCAGATCAAGAGATCACTTCGTTCACCACTCCAAGAGGCTTGTATTGCTACAAGGTCATGCTGTTTAGTCTCAAAAAAGTCGGGGCAACTTTTCAGAGGATGGTAACCAAAATGTTCGCTCCTCTTCTTGGCCGCACTATGGAAACTTACATTGATGACATGGTGCTGAAGAGAAAAGACAAGTCTTAACACCTGGCCGACCTAGTAGAAATGTTTGACGTCTTCAGACATCACAAGCTGCGTTTAAATGCCTCCAAGTGTGCCTTCGGAGTGGGAACCGAAAAATTTCTGGGTTTTTTGGTCACCAACCGAGGAATCGAAGTCGACCCTTCCCAGATCAAGGCAATACAAGAACTGGAGTGGCCAAACTCCATAAAGAACATGCAACATCTCGTCGAAATGGCAGTCGAGCTGAACAGATTTATCAACCGGTTTTCAGATCATTGCAAGCCCTTTTTCAAGACTCTGAAAATGAAGTTTTTATGGGATAAAGAGTGCGACCACACACTGGCGGATCTAAAGGTATACCTCTCATTAGCCCTAATCCTGGTCATACCACGGCCGACCGAAGAGCTGTATCTCTACTTGGCAGTTTCTCAACACGCCGTAAGTGCAGTCCTCATCCTTGCTGAGGGTATCTAGCACCTCCTTATTTTCTATGTTAGCAAGACACTGCTCCCAACTGAATCGAGATATCTGCCGCTTGAAAAATTGGCTTTCGCTCTCATGATGGCCTCCAGAAAGTTGGTGCACTATTTTTATGCCCATACAATAGTAGTGCTAACCGAATTTCCGCTCAAAGTGCTCTTTGAGAAGGCTGACTTCACCAGCTAAATTCTAAAGTGGGCCGTAGAATTGGTACAATACGACATCAAGTTCCATCCGTGCACTGCTATCAAAGTTCAAGCCCTTGCCAACTTCGTGGAGGAATTTGCCCCTAGAAGACACCCTGTTTGCCTTGTTGATTTGGCTAGCGCGGACTTGGCATAGCCCACAGCTCTGATAGCAAACAAAAGTGGTGGAGAACAAGTAGTAGAATGGAAAGATCAAGCTGGACAAGAAATAGAAGAACCAGTCAATTTGCCGAAATACAAGCTCAAGGGAGATGTAGGAAAGGATCAGACCGAGCTGACCAGTACCTTGGAGTTGAGGAACTCCTAAAATCCCTCCGACTACTGGGAGTTGTTCATTGGCGAGATGTGGAAGCTCTTCGTCAATGGGGCCTCTAACAGACACGGCGCCGGGCTGGGAATCGTGTTGACATCCCTAGATGGGTTGACCATTGAGCATGCAATCACACTTGGTTTTCTAGCATCCAATAATGAGGCAAAGTGAAGCCCTCCTCGTCGGGTTGAAGAGTGCTTTAAGAATGAAGGCATCAGAACTTATGGTGTTCAGCGACTCCAAGCTGGTGATCAATTAGGTCTCTGGGGAATATGAGGCCAGGGATAAAAGGATGGCTAAGTATCAAGCGCTGGTATGCACAGAGATCAAAAAGTTCACCGCAATAAGAATGGAACAAATTAACCGCGAAGAAAACAATGAAGCCGATGAATTGGCTGACCTAGCATCTATGCAAACGACTTTTCCCAATCCTTTAATGATAGAATTCTTACCCTGACCGAGCATTGAGGAACCAAAGGCACCCGAAGTCCTTTGCACGGACTTGGGACTGTCCTGGATAGATCCAATCATCACCTTCCTGAAAGATCAAATTCTACCCACTGAAAAGAAGGAAGCCAACAAGATAAGGGACAAGTCAGAACGGTTTTGGCTCTCTCCATCTGGCGCCTTATACAAGAAGTCCTTTACTGGGCCATACTTGAAGTATGTCCACCCCAGCAAGGTTGAAGCTTTCTTCTTCGAGATTCATGAGGACATCTGTGGAAGCCATATTACGGGCAAATCTTTGGCGTACCGAGTTATTTCTCAGGGTTAATATGAAGGCGGACGCGCAGAAATATGTTCGCAAATGCGAAAAATGCCAAATTTGCTCACCAAATCCACCAGCTGGTTAGAGAGCTGCTTCCCCTTACAAGTCCTTGGCCATTTGCCCTTTGGGGGCTAGACATCGTAAAGACCGCTTCCAACTGCTCCAGGAAACCGTAAATTTTTCATCGCTGCTATGGACTACTTCACTAAGTGGGTAGAGGTCGAGCCATTGGCCACTATCAAGGAAAATGACGTAACGAAGTTTGTCTGGCAGAATGTCATCATTAGCTTCGGCATCCCAAAATCCCTCATTTCGGATAATGACATTCAGTTCGACGGGAAACTCTTTCGCGGGTTTTACAAGGAGTTAAAGATTGAATTTTACAACTTTACACCGGCCTATCCTCAATCAAATGGTTAAGCTGAAGCCTAAAAAAAAACCCATCTTGGATGGGCTGAAGAAGCGACTGGAGAAAGTCAAAGGAAGTGGGCTGAGGAACTCCTCAATGTGCTTTGAGCATACCGCACTACACCAAGATGCTCAACCGGAGAAACTCCATTTGCCTTGGCTTCTAAAATGGAGGCAGTCATACTATTGGAAATCAACATGCCAACCATCCAATCTAAAAGTTTTGAACCAGACTTAAACAATGAAGCCGTAGCCTTGGAACTTGATCTAGCTGAAGAAAGAAGGGAACGGGCATTAATCCACATAGCCGCCTACCAACAAGAGCTCTCCAAGAAATACAACAAGACCGTGCACCCTAAGTTATTCAAGGTCAGAGACTGGGTCTTAAGGAAAGTAATGGGCAACACGATGATTCCTGGGGAGGGCAAATTAGGAGCAAATTGAAAGGGGCCATACAAGATAACTAGCCTTACAGGCAAAGGGGCATACCACCTGGAAGACTTAGATGGCAAAACTATCCCCAGACCATGGAATGCGGCCAACCTCAAGATAATTTACTTTCGAAACGTAATCTTTTTTACTTCTCTTCTTTTTGTAACTTGGCCTTTTGGCATTGGGTGTATAATTAGTAACATGTAATAGAAAATAGCCCCTTCTTTCTCTTATACTATGCGTTTCTGTACAAAAATATTACAAGAGTATTAAGTTACCGTGCGTGCAGGGGCAATGCCCAAACCGGGTTAACTTTGCCCACTATACGACGATTGTCCGGTTAAGAGCTGATTTTGCTTTTATTCAATCGAGCTGATTTTTGGTGGCAATAGTCGAGCCGATTTTGCTCATGACTACCCAAGCTGATTTTCGCTCGCCGTTGAAGAGTAGATTTTGCTCATGATTACCCGAGCTGTTTCTTACTCGCCGATGTAGAGCTGATTTTGCTCACTAACCGAGCTGACCTCGCTCGCTCGCCCGCCCCCCCCTTGAACCATTGGTGTTTTGCCCAACTTATATTAGAGTCGAGTTGACCTCACTCGTCCGCTCAAACAGCTGGTGTGTTGCCCAACTTGTATTAGAGTCGAACTGATTTTGCTCATTAGATCGAGCTGATTTTGCTCGTTAAACCAAGCTAACCTTGCTCGCCCGATCAAATAGTTGGTGTTATGTTCAACAAATGTTTTAAACCGAGATAAGTTTGCTCATTAACCTAAGTTGATTTTGCTCGTTAAAGTGTTTTCGTCCCCAAACTGATTTTGCTAGTTGGACCCCTAACCTAGCTTAATGTACTTGCCTATACGGCAACTACCCTTACCCAATTTTGAAAAGGAATTTTACATTTGTACGCGTTTAAAAGGAAATCGGCTTAGCCTAACAGAGATCATTACGCTTAGAATGCAACGAGAAGATTTTATCTCGACTACATGCAGGGTTAACCTGATGCTATGGAATCGAGCGATAAATATCTCGGCCTAATCGAAGAAAATGACAACAAGGAAAACAAAAATTCGAATACATAGCGAGCAAAAAGTTCTTCAATTTTCATTCATAATAAAGTTTGACTATAAAAGTGGGGCTCATAGCTCGATTACATCAAAAATAAAAAAGATAAACATAAGCCTAATCAACATTTATGGCGTCTTCTAGATTGCTCATCACCTCTTCTGCTACATTTTACGCGATTTCAGCGCCAGAATCTGTGCCTCGTTCGGCAGTTGAAGGCTCTTGCTCGCTACTCGACGCCACCTCTTCTGATATGGCCGGTAGTGGGGTTTTATTGGTTGGCTGTAGAGTTGGCTCTTCGTCCGCGTTGACCTCTTGAGTGTCCTCTATCAACTTCTGCTGCACGGTGGCAGCATATGCCTGCATATAGGAATGAATGAAGGCAGGTGGGGGGTTATTAAACACCTCAGACTCCGGCGTCTGACAAAGTTTTTTAGCGGCTATTTTCCAGCCGCACTGA